TATGAAAATTATTTTAATTAAATAGCCAATTATAGAAAAATCCTAACCATGAGAATTGACATTTAAATGAATTCAATTTAAATTGCTTTTCAACATTGTTTTATCAAAGCTTTATGGGGTGAATAAATTATTACATCAAACAATATACTGTGTCATTGATCATACACAAGTCCTGTCCCACATCCATACATTTTCAAACACTTTGCCGACGCCATGCATCACACAGGGTGATTATACTTTGACACAGTCATTTGTTTACTACAGTCTCACTTACATTTACTGTACTTCTGTGTACTTTTATTTTCTTGTGGGGAAAACTACATGAAACTACCTAATTAGCCAAGTATTCGGCCACTCTGAGAAACTCATCCACTGCGCTATTTTGCAGCTTTTTGTCAAAAGACTTTAAAGTCTTCTCATTGAGWTTTTTTTGTGTAATTCTAAATTATACAAAGGAAGTCATTACAGCACTGGTAAACAGCCTGTTTTCATGTGTGTGAAGCTGTGTTTTCATAACTGGGGTCAGACATATGTGGCCCACCCAGTCTGCTGCAGGGTCTTTGTATCTAAAATATTACACATATCTTGTGTTAACTTTTCATACCTATTAAGCTGCCCATGCTTTTTCCCCTCCTCTTTTCTGCATAATATTAATTGTAGTCATTTTTCAGGCATTACATCTCAAAGATTTGCAGTTGACCCATGCAAACAGGAGAAATAGTGGGCAAACTGTTGTGACATTCATTGTATATAATGAAATCTTAATATGGTGCATATTTAAGTGAAAGGTTAGCAACATAAAGGGCAAATGGATTGGCTGGCAATGAATTTTAAGCAGCTATTGATTTTACACTACAAGCTACCTCTTCTCTGAATGATAATTTTTTTTGAAATAGCACACACTGCTTATCTTAAAGCTTATCTGACCAAACAGGGTGACAGAACCAGGTGTGATTTAACTGCAACAAGGGACAAAATGCATGTATTTAGAAATTCTTTAAAACAGAGTTTTGGTGAACCTGAAGTACACAATTTTTAAGAAATAAAAATATCCCATTTTAGACATTTAATCTATTGCATTGTGCCCAAAAACCATAACAAAATTCAATTTTTTTTATTTATCTGTTTGTTTTTCTAGTCATTTTTTTAAAATAAACCTTTAACTAGTAAAGTTTGGTTGTGTGAGGAAAAGTTATTAATTAACCCAAGGTAAAATAAAAACAACAATAATAATAATAATAATAATAATAATAATAATAATAATAATAATAATAATAATAATGTTTACCTTTACTGTTTTCTAGTGTTTCTGTATTTCCCTGTGTATATCTGTCTATGTGTTCCCTCCCAGGCACACCTGATCCTCATGTTTCATCCAAATGTTTCCAATCAGTCCCTTATTTAGTCACCTTTATATTCTGTGTCTTGTCTTCACTTCCCTGTCAGATCATTGTGCTGTGTTCTCCAGCCAATGTGTGTCTTCCCGTAATGTTTGTTTTCTTGTTCCTTGAGATATTTTGTAAGTACTTTTTGGAGCAGCCTGTCCAGCCTTTTTGGTTAATAAGTACCATTTTGTCTTTACTCTGGACCCTGCCTGTGCACTGGGTCAATCTGCCTCCTGCACCTCACAAATCATAATAATAACTCTAAACTACCCTTAGGTGTGAGTGAGAGAAAGAACGGTTGTTTAGCGTGGCCCTGTGATGGACTTGTGACCAGTCTAGGGTGTACCCTGTTCCTCGCACAGTGACAGTTAGATATGGGCATCAGTGACCCCCGTGACCCTGAAAGGAAGAAGAGGGTATAGATAATGAATGAATGGATAATAATAATAATTAAGCATCATCAATAAACAAAAAATAAATTACAAGTTTTGGGAAATTGTGTGGCAGAGACTAACAAGGATATACAGTTGAACCCAAAACAGGACTAGGGCCCCCTGTAGTCTGACTGCAGTATAAGTTTAAGTCCATGTAAAGTAAAGTTAAGTAAAGTAAAGTTTTATGTATATAGCGCCTTTTACAGAAATAAATTCACAAGATGCTGTACATTCAGGGAAGGGGGGAGGGGGCTGTTAAGAAACACCCATTCAAGAAGACATACAAGACAAACATGGGGGAACAGGTGAAACGGTCATGCAGCAAATACAGTTGCGCTACCTTTAACAACAGAAAAACTAAAAACCACACAAGGGAAGATGAGGAAAAAAAGGTAAATAAACAGAATTGAGCAAATGGTCATGTAAAAGGTGAGCGGGGGACTGTAACAATCTACACTCACCGGCCACTTTATTAGGTACACCACGCTAGTAACGGTTTTGTGGTCATAAAGGGATGGACATGGTCAGCAACAATACTCAGGTAGGCTGTGGCGTTGCAACGATGCTCAGTTGGTACCAAGGGGTGCAAAGAGTGCCAAGAAAAGATTCCCCACACCATGACACCACCACCASCAGCCTGAACCATTGATACAAGGCAGGATGGATCCATGCTTTCATGTTGTTGACGCCAAATTCTGACCCTACCATCCGAATGTCGCAGCAGAAATCGAGACTCATCAGACCAGGCAACGTTTTTCCAATCTTCTCTTGTCCAATTTCGATGAGCTTGTGCAAATTGTAGCCTCAGTTTCCTGTTCTTAGCTGAAAGGAGTGGCACCCGGTGTGGTCTTCTGCTGCTGAAGCCCATCTGCCTCAAAGTTYGACGTACTGTGCGTTCAGAGATGCTCTTCTGCCTACCTCGGTTGTAACGGGTGGTTATTTGAGTCACTGTTGCCTTTCTATCAGCTCGAACCAGTCTGCCCATTCTCCTCTGACCTCTGGCATCAACAAGGCATTTCCGCCCACAGGACTGCCGCTCACTGGATGTTTTTTCTTTTTCGGACCATTCTCTGTAAACCAGGGGTGTCAAACTCCTGTCCTCGAGGGCCGCTATCCTGCATGTTTTAGAGGTTTTCTTGCTCCAACACACCTGATTTTGATCACTGGGTGATTAACAGGCTTCTGCCCAATTTGAAGAGTTAATTCAATCACTGAATCAGGTGTGTTGGAGCTGGAAAACCTCTAAAACATGCAGGATAGCGGCCCTCGAGGACTGGAGTTTGACACCCCTGCTGTAAACCCTAGAGATGGTTGTGCGTGAAAATCCCAGTAGATCAGCAGTTTCTGAAAGACTCAGACCAGCCCTTCTGGCACCAACAACCATGCCACGTTCAAAGGCACTCAAATCACCTTTCTTCCCCATACTGATGCTCGGTTTGAACTGCAGGAGATTGTCTTGACCATGTCTACATGCCTAAATGCACTGAGTTGCCGCCATGTGATTGGCTGATTAGAAATTAAGTGTTAACGAGCAGTTGGACAGGTGTACCTAATAAAGTGGCCGGTGAGTGTAAAACTGTATCTAAAAATACAACATGGCTGAATCTTCTTGCTTTTGATATGTTAGTATTGTGGACATTTTCACCAACTTGTGGTGAGAAATGTGTATGTCATTGTTTAGCTAGAACTATGTGAACATTTTTTTAAGATAAACAACAGTTATGTATATACAGTACATATACACACATTCAAAAGGTATACACTAGGACAAACAGGGCTTTACCTGTGCAGGGAAAAATCCAAAATGCAACCAGTTTACAATCTAACATCTAATAATAAATAATCATTTACTTTACAGGTGTTGGTGTAATACACTTGCACATAACAGTTACGATGTGTTGCACAGTTTTCTTCTTGTCCAATCAAGACACTGATACAGAGGTAAAGTTTGAAAGTTTAGGTGGACAAAGTTTACCTCATTATTTCTGAAGCTCTGTCCAGAGAATGCACAGAATTTCTGTATTATCCATTCAAGCCTCCTGGAATACAAACACTTATAATTCTTGTAGCTGACGTTGATTTGTTTTAAGGGATTTAACTTCCCCTCGCCACTTCCAGTTGGTGCCTCATGTCTGTCAAATTTGAGTTAATTAACTTTCCATTCCCACATCTGTTTGGCTGTAACTCCTGCATAGCTGAACAATTTATTACATATACCAAAATGGACAGTGAATGAAACAAATATGCAAACTTAGAAATGTCACACTTATACAACACTGTTGGAATAGGTTTGCAAAACAATCGCTGCAGTCCAACTTTAATTAGTGACCTCACATCCACATTAGCTCAACTTGTTGTACTGTAATCAAGAAAGGGATACAGAAATTTTAATTAAATAAGGGCTTTAACAATTGTTTTACTGTTTTTACACAATTCTTGTGCAATTGCAAAAAAACTACATTGGACAATTATGGCCAAAAATAGCTTTTGTAGGAAGTTACATGCGTTTTTCCTTTTATATTCATTTAAATGGTAAAAAAGGGTAAAAAAAAAAACCAAAAAACAAAAACTATGTCAAAATTAACAAATAGAACTTACAGTATTTGGTGTTGATTTCTAAATACTAAAATTTCCAGTGCATGGTCTAGAGCAGTGTTTCCCAAAGTTGGGGTCGGGACCCAAGGTGGGGTCCCTTAACATCAAGGTGGGGTCCTGAAAAGATTTTCAGAATAAATTACATTTTTGCCTTAGTTGTTACAAAGGAGTGAGGTTAKTRTATTTAAAATGGATAAATGTAGTATAAAAATATTGTTACTATGCCCGTGTTTTGTTGACCTGATACTTGGGGGAACAGGTCATTTTGTGGGTCAAAAGCTGAAAAGTTTGGGAACCACTGCACTTTGGTTCCCAAAGTTGGGCTTGGGACCCACTTATGGGTCAGAAAACACCTTGGATAATCTCCAGAAATCATTTTAAAGGGTGATAAAATAATTGCTGATGTAATATTTTCCCTATAAATATTACAAAAACACAAAATAAGTATAAATAAGTATTTATATTTGTGTACAAGCTGTTTAGATTGTCAAAAAGCCTGTGTTTTTAGGGTTATTAACAAAGTTCGTGTACTCTGACCAGTAATATTTGGGGTCACAAGTTTTTGCCATGGATATTTTGTGGGTCAGAAGATAAAAAGTTTGGGAACCACTGGTCTAGAGTGCCGCAGTAGGAAACAAAATTTAAGCTTCAGGTGTTTAGAGAGAGTATTTGAGGTCAATCTAATGCACATATTTTTTTTCATTTTTATCGTGAAAGATTAAAAGTAAGTCCTGTGACTTCCCTTGCACTGCGAGTAATAAACTGCAACCCTATCTGTTTAAAAATTGTGTTGTGTTGTTATTTTGTATTTTCACCCATAACCTTCAGCTGCAACAAATATATTGAAGGGTTCATGAGCACAATGGGGTTCACCTTTTCACTGATATTTTAAAAAAGTAAAGTAATTAAAGTAAACTTAAAGTRATTTATTTCTGTTAGAAGACAGTAAACTAATGGTGCTCAGCAATTAACAACTCAATCCCAATGGATTTCACTGCATTCTAGGCACTTACAATACTATACAGTAGATGGCTGAGATACAAACTAGGTGAAAATTAAAACTGTAATACTGAATCTATCAAAACTTTTCTTGTGCAAGTCAACCATATTCGATTTTGAGGCCAGGACTGGTTTGGAATCTCTGACTTTTCCAGCTGGACTGACTTCTAAGGAAACATTTAGACTTTTCTTTCTTAGCAGTTTGACTTTGATCTGGAAACAAAACGTTGAATGTCTCAGCATTCAAGCTTTAATTATGAAACTCAAAAATAAAATAAAAAAATATCTTCCTACCTAATTTGTTTCTTCTGAATGGGCCTAATACAGTGGCAATATTAATATCCAGGGGAAAAAAAACATGAAAAGATACATCGAAGAAATCATAACACGTAAAATAAAATGACAGTGAGTCTTTTTTTAAACTTTGAAAGTTACTGCAAAAGCTATTTGACAACTTAGTTAAGAAATGAAGGCAAAAAAGTGTGCCAGTGTTGCTCAGTGTGCTAAGAGAAACCTGTCTTAAAGCTTAAAATGCAAAATAAAATAAAAAAAACTTAAAAACAGAGGAGAAAAGTCAAAATGAGATGTTAACCCAGAGTTTCTCTTGTAACAATGTGGTCTTTAAGTAGAGCTGAAACAGTTTTGTGCTCTTCAAAGCCTTCTGTCCCCTAGCTCCTCCCTCTCTGCACCGTGTGACAACAACAACTCATCCACAGAGCGGAGCTGCACTTTTCAGCTCATTTTCCTCCTGTCATTCCTCCTATCTTTGATCATTGTCCCGCTGCCCCCCTCCCCTCCTAAAAAATACCCCTCAACTCAGCACGCCTTTTTTTTTTATTCGGTAGCTCTTTTTTTAAACTTCCCAACTTAACTGAGGAGCTAAACTCTGAAGGATTCTTTTCATTTAGCAGGCTGGGTTTTCTACTTTGAACTTCGGCTCCTCTCTTCCCCCTCCTCTCGCAGGTTGACCATGGCCGTACCGGCTGCTCTCATCCCACCGAGCCCTCTCGTCCCGCCGCCTCCGATCTCCACTCCCTCCGCCACCACGTCCCCGCCGTCGACAACTTCATCCCCGTCCCCGACCCTGGCTCCCCCGTCGGGTCCCGGACAGAGCCTGTTCCGCTCAGAGCTCCTGGCCAGCGCMAGCGCCGGCGGCAGTCCGGGCATCCCGACCCCGAGCGCGGCTCTCCCCCCCGGCAAGCCGGTCTACTCGACCCCGTCGCCCGTCGAGAACATCCCGCAGAACAACGAGTGTAAGATGGTGGAGCTGCGCGGCGCCAAGGTGGCGTCGTTCACCGTGGACGGCTGCGAGCTCATCTGCCTCCCCCAGGCTTTCGACCTGTTCCTGAAGCACCTGGTCGGCGGGCTGCACACGGTCTACACCAAGCTCAAGCGGCTGGAGATCACGCCGGTCGTGTGCAACGTGGAGCAGGTCCGCATCCTCAGGGGGCTCGGCGCCATCCAGCCCGGGGTGAACCGCTGCAARCTCATCTCCAGGAAGGACTTCGAGACGCTGTACAACGACTGCACCAACGCGAGGTACGTGGAGGAGAGCCCGGCGTGTTTAAATGTCCACACACACACTCACACACAACAGACACACACTCACACACACTCGCGCTTACAGCCGTGCGTAAAGGCGCAGGAGCAAGCGAGGGGCAGATATTTCCCCACCATGCAGAATAGTTACTTTTAGATCAATATTTTTTTTATTTGGTAATTGTTGGACAATCATATGTGTGTGTCTGTGTGTTAGTGTTGAACATGCACGTGTCAGATTCACCCCAAAGGTTAAAAAAATGTGTGCGTCATGGGTGTGTGTTGGACCGAGATCAGCGCGCCTCAGGAGAAAAAAAAAAGTTATGAGAAAGTTTTTGACACGTGCATCTCAAAGCTGTCATGATTCTGATTTATTAAATCGATCAGAGTCATGCTTCTTTTTGATTATCGCTCATTAATAATAATAATAATAATAGTTTTACTGCATACATATTTAACTCGTTGCATTTGAAACTTTTGTTTATGTTCAAGCGTCATCCTGAATGCCACATCCAATAAACATTATTTCAATTATTAAAAGTTTAAGAAAGTGCACAAACTCCTCTATATTGTTAGAAATAAAGACAAATTAATGATTTAACTTTCTTTTTGAGGGTACTATTTTATCCTCCAGAAAGAAGAAATTATATTATTTTCACAAGTGCCAAAAATAATTCATCTCCATGAGAAGGAACAGTTATGTGAAGGTAAATTAATCTGACTTCTAAAGAACTAATAAAATAACGTTCAGAGACTCAGATGACAAAATATATTTATATAAAAATGAATGTTAAATTATAGAATTTCAGCTTTATGTATTTTAAACTGGAATGATTTAAGCAATGATTAAAAATATTTTAATGTTTCTTTTTTATGCACAGCTGAGTCTCAGAGGATGGTTCTGCTCAAATTTACCTTCTCACCTGTCGCTATGATTGATTACGTATTGATCCCCCCTCCCCAGAAATAAGCTGGAAATGCAAAAATAATGAAAAGGCTCCCATCAGTGTGTGTGTGTGTGTGTGTGTGTGTGTGTGTGTGTGTGTGTGTGTGTGTGTGTGTG